TTAAACTTGAGTCTAGTTCGAGTCTGTGAAATGACTTGAGAGGTGTAGAATAAGTGGGAGTCTTACGGCGCAAGTGAAATACCACTACTTCTAACATTATTTTGCTTATTTCATGAGGTGGAGCCGGGGCTCTGCTCCTTCTTCCCGATCCAAGGTGCAGGCCTTCGTGGCCTGTCCCATCCAAGCGAAAGACATACTTAGGTGGGGGGTTCGGCTGGGGTGGCACATCTGTTAGAAGATAACGCAGGTGTCCTAAGATGAGCTCAACGAGAATAAAAATCTCGTGTGAGCAAAAGGGCAGAAACTCATTTGATTTTGATTTCTAGTACAAGGTCATTACGTCCATTTCTCACGGGGGGAGTGAGGGGCTTGCCTGTAGACATCGCAGATCTCGCCATCCTTGTCAACCCCTTCTGTGTGTGGGTGCTTACGCCTCCCGGCAGAAGTGGCAACCGCGGATGGCCAACCAGAATAAGTGCCTCCTTGCAAACCCTGTCGCAGGCGCCACTGCCTTCGGGCAGTGTCGATACCCCCGCTGCTTTTTCTTTAGACTATCCTTGCTTGTACTCTGGGACGTTGGGCCTGATTCCCAGCAGGTGCTGCTCCCCACCAATAAATTGGAGCCCTTCCCCGGGTGCTAGTGATATCTGCTCTTACCAGTATCACGAGCACTATGGAAGGGGGTGTTGGGTAAAAAAAAAAAAAAAAAAAAAAAAAACTGTGAGAGCATGGCCTATCGATCCTTTAGCGTTTCAGGGCTTGAAGCTAGAGGTGCCAGAAAAGTTACCACTGGGATAACTGGCTTGTGGCAGCCAAGCGTTCATAGCGACGTTGCTTTTTGATCCTTCGCTGTCTGCTCTTCCTATCATTGTGAAGCAGAATTCACCAAGTGTTGGATTGTTCACCCACCAACAGGGAACTTGAGCTGGAATTACACCGTCGTGAGACAGGTTAGTTTTACCCTACTAATGCACCGCCGTCGCAACGGTAATCCAACCCAGTACGAGAGGAACCGTTGGTTCGCACAATTGGCAATTGTGCTTGGTTGAAAAGCTAGCGGTGCAAAGCGACCGTGCGTGGGATTATGACTGAACGCCTCTAAGTCAGAATCTGTGCTTGCTGCGACGGCGTATGCCTCCTCGGATGACACAAGGCTGTCGATAGGGTCAGCGTGTCTGGCCCCGAAAGCATAAGTTCGGAGTTGTCCCTCCTGCGGCGGAGCACCGACGCGCTGGGGGTCTCTTCATCGCAATTTCTTTCGGTGGGGGAGTCGAACCCTTTGCAGATGACTTAGATAGGGAACGGGGTAGTGTAAGCAGTGGCATGGCCTTGTCGTCACGATCTGTTGAGATTCGGCCCTTTGTTCCAAAGGTTCCCCCCACCTTCTGGCTCCCCACCCCTCCTCAAATGTTTGAACGACGGTCATCCGTGTCTGAAGAGAGTCGTCGCCCTTGTATAGGGGCCGATTAGCTGCTTGCTTCTTTTTTTTTTCCCTTTTTTTTTTTCCAGTTTTGCTGCTTCCGTCTGAAGCCCCTTTTACCCGATGTAGTACTCGACTTTCGGCTCAAAGGAGAACTGTGCCCAATTGGGGTGGGTGCCACTGCGACGCGCCATCTGTCCGAAAGCATGGATATGTGTCCGAGTGTCTTCCTGTACTTGACACGGTGGGCGTTTGTGCATGCCACATTGTCCGATGTCGCCCCATACGGCCTGCGACTTTTGGTTGCACGGAGACCTGGGACCAAAGGCTGGATCGACGTGAGTGCCACATTGTACACTTACTCACGATGAGGCGGGCGACCTTTGTTTCAGTATAAAAAAAAACTATTCTGGAAGTATTCAAACAAAATGCAAACGTGTACTATGTACATACGTCTATAATATTATCTATATGATTTTTTTTATTTTTTTTCCCTATTGGATTCACCTTTCTTTCATGATGAAAACAAAATTCTGAATCTTCTCATTCTATAGATGAAAGTTTGCTCAAGCAAGTATTCAATCAAATTAACGAAAGATTTTTAGTAGAGGGGGAGAGACGGAGGGTGTCTGGCCCCCCATGCGTCCAAGCGTAATCGTGGTGGGGGCGCGTGGAGCATGCCCCTGGTGTCTGGAACCTAGAAAGCCAATTCTCACCCTATCTGGCCCTCCCCATGTGTGTGCGTAATATCATGGCTTGGGAACAAAATACCCATTTCTTGCCCTACTTGGCCCTCGCCATGTGACTGCGTAGTCATGATCTTGGTGGGGCCGCACGCCCCCCAGCTTTGGGAACAGAAAGGCCACTTCCTGCCCTTTGTGCCCCCGCCCCCCCCGCCCCCACGCGGGGGCTCAATGATGTTCATGGCGGGGGCAAACGGCCCACTTCCTGCCCTATCCGGCCCTCCCCGCACGTGCACATGATCATGGCGGGTTGCTTCACAGGAGGCAGTACCTGATTGGCTCCATGGTGTTCTCCGAGACATGCACGAAAATGCTTATAGCCGTCGGGTTTTCGGCCTCGCTTGTTCTGCCGGATGAAGTTTTTTTCGGGGCCGACTCAAATTGAAATAACGATTTTGTCAAGTCATCCTTGACTTTTCTTTCGCCTCTTCTCTTTCTGGAGTGTGTGTCTAGTCATGTTTGCCAACACGCAACCCCACAACAGATGCACGATTCTGCCAGACTTCCCGTAAACTTTTCACTCCCACACTGCGACATAATTTGAGTCACTAGGCACAAAAGTTGCTTGGCCTTTTCTCTGTTTGTTTCGTCCCTTTTTGTTTTCATTCTTTTTTTATTTTTAATTCATTTATTTTTTTTCCCCAGTCCTTCCTTTTATCCCTTTGTGTGTGGACGGGACGGAGATGGGACTTACTTTTGAGGTGTCGAATTTTGTGGGGGCAGCAGATACCGCACACTGCCACTCGGGCGTAGGAACGGCCCCGAGAAAAGGGGGTTTCCCAGGATCCAAGGTCCAGAGGCGTTTTATTGAGAGCGGAAAGGGATGAGGTCCCGAGGGGGACATCTCCATTCGGGTCTGTTCAGTCAGCTTGCTGGAAAGGRACATGTGCAGGTCCCTCGGCGGATGGCTCAGTGAGCACCCTCCGAATGTGCCAAACAGTTGGTGGTTGGCGGTTCGGAATCCCGTTTGCACTTTTATAGGGGCCTGCGTGCTTAGCAGCCCCCTTGCAGTCGATGAAGGCGACGTTCCGGGCATGGGTTTTGGGACCTTGTACTCGAGTTACGAGGGACTCTCTGCACACGCTTTGGGTGGTTTCCAGTTTGCGAGAGACGGGCGAGTCGTTCTTTGGTGGTCGAGCGAACATTTTTGCGGCGTCGTGCGGGTCCATGGTCGTCTCTCTCGGAGGGCTTATTTCACGACAGCTCGGTCGTCACTGGCAGTGGTCGCGGCTGTCGGGGCTTTCCTATGCCGTGGTGTCGGGTTGTGGATCGTTGCATTCACCCTCGCTCATCGTCTTGCGATGATTGGCGCCTGATCGCTGACGGCGGTCTGGTTGGTGGTCGTTTGCAGGGTGTGGAGGCGGAAGTGCCCGTCACCGACTCCCAGCTTCGACACCATCATCCCGTAGGTTTCGGGTAGAGCGGTTGCGGCTTTGTTGTGGTGTCGTCTTCGTGTTCGTACTCACAACGGCGCGTTCCGTTTTTATTGAGGGGGTGTTACGACTTGGTGACGTCGCTCTGCGCTCTTCGCCATCCGAGCGGCGCCATTGAGAGGTGGCGCAGGTGGCCTCGGCCCTGCACCCGCTGTTTACCGTATGCGAGGGCGGAGCAACCTGACTGATAGTGGGCCAAAGTCCCTTCTCTTTCAACCAGAAGTTATCATCTTGGGTTTTAGATGTTTCTCTAAGGGTAAGAGTCCCGACCCCAAGAAGATAGACAAGATCTTGAATTCGTCTCTGCCACTCAAGAGAGTGACAGACGTCAGAAGCTTATTAGGTGTCTGTGGATTCTGGAGGATTTTTATTCCTCATTTTGCTACCCGTGCGAAACCCCTGAGGGAGATGGTGAGGCAGGGGGCTAATTTAGCATGGAATGAGAAAAGGCAAATTGTTGTAGAAACTTTACAGGAGAAATTAAAAGATGGAGGTGTAGTGCTGGGAGTGTTTTTTATGATGATGAGGAGGCAAGACCTTTCATCATCGAGGCAAATGGAGGTCCGGTAGCCCTGGGTGGTGTGCTTATCCAGAAGGATGAAAATGGGAAAGAGGGGCATCTGAGATTTAAGAGTAGGACTCTTAACTCTACAGAAAGAGGTTATACCCAGTTCAGAAAAGAGCTACTGGCAATTATCCATAGCCTCAGGTGCTTCAGGCATTATAAACTGGGAAGGAGATTCATCTTGAGGACTGATGCATTTGCTGTGATCGGTGCTATTAAGAAGCATCAGCAGATAGATCCCACAGTCAGCAGATGGATTGCCTTCATTTGAACTTTTGATTTTAAGTTGGAAAAGATTCCTACTGAGAAAAACAGAGCAGATGACCTAAGCCGGATTGAATGGAGAAAAAATGAAGAAAAAGATGTAAATCAGACGATTGAAGAATCAGTCTATGTTGATAATTTTCTGAATGAAGAGGACGATGAAGATTATAGGGCTCCAAGTTCCTACAAATGAAGCTTATGGCCTGAAGAAAGAGATTGCTGGGGAGAAATCCGTGGTGCCTATGTCTACGAGTCAATTCTCACAAAAGAGGAAGAGGAAGAACAAAATGATTGGTATGCAAAGATTAATGCTGCAGCCGTAGCAACCCATGAAACATAAGAAATTTCACGCTCAAAGAAAGAAGAAGAGGGTGAGAAGAAAGAGAAAGAAATATCATTTATCTTTGAAGAGCACAATGAAATTTACCAAGAGATCGGATAGAAAATGAAGAAAGAATAGTTGAAGGAATATCATTGCAAGGATTTAAAGAAAAAGTTCAGACTAAAGCGAGGCCACCTCTTCGTGGATGGCAAGAGAGGATTGCCTCCACTAAGAGTAGTTTGTGGCAAAGAGAGACAACTGGAGATAATTGTTGTTCTACATGAGGGGGTTGCAGGTGGCCACAGAGCTGCTGAGGCAACCTACTCTAAGACTGTCAAGTTCTACTTCTGGCCTGGCATGAGAGACATGATTTCGCAATCATCAAATACTCGGCCGACAAACCATCTGGGCCTGGCGCCTTACCCCTGTGCATCCCAGACAGAGCCCGTGCTACTTCCTCATGAGTGATGGGCACATCCAAAGAAGCCCTATGCTCTAGCGTCACTCGGATGGCACATTTATCCCACACATCCTTAGTCGGCACAGCGGCCATGTCCTCCTGCGGCCAACACTCATCTTCACGGTACAGATTTTCATAAAACAGCTCGACGTACCTGAGGATGTCAGCAGTATTTTCCGCTTTCCCCTCAAGCGGATCAAAAGGATGCCCCATCGCCACAATCAACGACGAATGAGACGTTCTCTTCATTCGGGCAAAGAATGCCTTGGACATGCGCTCTGCGTCCCGTACCGACTTAGTCTTAGAGCTGAGCCCCCACAGCTCCGCATCACGGGCCTGCCAGCTAGCCCACTCTGAATGCAACAGAACCCACTCCGCCCACCATTCATCCTCACCCCCTGCTGGCGGAATTTCGCCCAGCGCCTCCATCCGGCAGACGTACTCCTGACCCGTCTGATCATGCGCGTGCCTCGAAGCCTTAGCCCTCCTCTTCATATTTGCCGCCGAGGCCCGGATGCCGTGCTGGAGATGCTCCAGGAACGACATATGATGAGGACGCAAACGAAGCCGATACTCCCAGTGTTGTTGGACAAGTTCACTGTTAAGAGCATCAGACAACAACCATGTCGGAATAGACATTGGAGGGGGCCTTCTGAGCACTCGGGGATGCAGGGCCAGCGAAGTGACAATAAGCTTGTGGTCCGATATCGGCACCAACTGCTGGTCAAAACCCTGAAGGTTCGGCAAGAGGTCAGGCGAAATCCATGCCATGTCCAACCTGCTTCGTAGGAGAGGGGAGGTCCCAAACCAAGTGAAACTCCTGTCATCCGGGAAAATTCTGCGAAAGGCATCCACCAAAGCCATATCAGTCATTAAGGCACACAAGGCGTCCGCATCCGGCTTTGGGTCCCCCGACACAACTGAGTCCCTACCCGGCCGAATGACCGTATTAAAATCCCCAATGAGTAGCATGGCATCCGTCTCCAGAAGACAGGCCGTAAAGTTCCTCCGAAACCACTTGCGCTCTGTGACATCCACTGGAGCATAAATTGTGGCCACCAACAACTTCCTCCCCCCTTCTTCAATGAACACCCACGCCCAATCTCCCAATGTATCCCAGAAGAAATCCAAGACTTTGCCCATGAAAAACCTCGTCAAAATAATTGCGACTCCCCCTTTAGTCCCTACTGTCAGAGCCCATAATTGGAAAGGGCCCCCGAGACCAAATTCAGTAAGGGACAACCCATCCCCCCTCATCCTGGACTCTAAGATTTTCGTCTCCTTAAGATAGATGACTGGTAATCTAGTTTTTCTAACAATCTTCCTCACTTCCTTAGCCTTAACCCTAACCGATCGATCGCCCAGACCTCTGACATTCAGCAAACCCACTCTAAACATAAACAACTACATAGATAAAGTGACAGGGGTGACACAAAAACCAACCACCGGACAAAACTTTGGAAACAGTCCCAGGCACGCCAAGCCCTCCTCGTGCATCTTTGCAAACCATCAACGTCCATTCCCCCGGGACCGATCCGAACTCGACATACGCACCGAGACTCACGACCTCCTTTGCGGGACCACCGGGCCGTTCTGCATATTTGAGCGGCTCGTCTGCCCTGTCCCTTGCGAGGGGGTCCTGGAGGCAGACCCCCCGGGAGGCTGCACACGGCGCCGAGGACCGTACAACCACTCATCGGTCGACAACCAAAACCTATTGCTCGAAAAGCGCTTGGCCGGCGGCATGCGTCTGTCAAGATCCTTGAGAATCCGCAGAGGGGCCGACATAGCTGTGACAACTGCATGCTCTTCAACCTCCGCAGAGTCAAGGACCAGCGCGAGATTCTGCCAGCCAAAACTAGGGGCCGGCAAAACAATCCCTTGCGAATGCTCATACTTCGCTCGTACAAAGAAACAATACAAACCCACCGAAAAACCATGATTGGTGGCGGCCAACAACCGAATGGTAGAGACACTGAGAACCATTGCCACCTCAGCCGTAGTCCCCAGCCATTCCCGTGCCGCCGACTAGGCTCGTTGCTAAGTGGGCATTACAGACAAGGCTATCATCGGGAACCGTGCATTATGCACACCCGCCGATGCCAAAACAGTGAGAACCTGCAGAACAGATGGTGGAAAGTGTTCACACTTAGACGTGCATGGCTCAGTCTTTGAGACAAGCATATGACTACTGGCAAGGTCAACCAGGTAGCGGGTGTAACGAGCAGCCGCAAGGAGCGATGGCCGAGGCGCACGTAGGCACGTCACGCCGGCCAGCCTACCAAAAGAACGTCGAACAACCGTGGAACGTGCAATGAGCTGCCGGGACACCGCGAAGTCCAACTTTTTTAATTGCAGGTGAACTTCCCCTCCGTAGGCCATCTCCAATGGCAAGGTACCGCACAATCCAACACAGCCCGCCGCACCCACTCACAAGATTGGGTGCGAACAGCACCCGCCCACACCACACCCTGAGATCGCAAGATTACCACACTATTCGAACAACGGCGAACGTGAAGGAACCACAGACTGCTTCGGCCCACAGCCAGATGCCACCGCCCGCCCAAAACATACCGACAGCGAAGTGCACCGCCTCATCTCTCCATCGCGAAATGCGGGTGAAGAGAGAAAGGAATGCACCACGCCTCCAACACGCCCGAACGGACGGAAAGCCTCCACCTGTGCACGGGGACGTAAAAGGAACACCCCCCCTCCCCCCTCGATTCACATGCGCCTGTTGTCGTGGGCACCACCAACAGAACTAGACACAGGCGAAACCCAGGAGACAGAGGACAGTAGCCTTCAAAGCCCACAACCTAAACGCAGCGGAACCACAACGCAACATGATCCGTCAGGGTGTGAAGCATATCGAGACCATAGGATGGGGGACACGACGAGCACAAGCGCGCATTCCAACAAGTCGGCGGGATGACGGGCCTTACCTCACGACGCCGTCGGAGGGTGCATCACCTCTCTAGGACCATCTTTACTCCTTCGGCATGTTCCCAGACGAACTTCCTGACTCCACCTGCGACCAAAATCTCATCCCTTACCAGAGGTCCTTTTACAGGATTGTCATCAATATAGGGGCTGGTTACTTCAGGAAAAATGTCCTGCATGACTTGGATCATATCCCTTTGAACCACCGCCACACGATTAGTCCAACCCTGGGGTACCACGCACATCTGAATAAGTCATTTTGGCATGTGCATGACAGTCATTGGTCGACTAGTGGGATCAATGGGAAACTGATCATAGCCAGAATATAAATCAACTAAGGAGTAAATGCATCGACCAACAAAGGATTCGGAAAGGAGATCAACATTAGGAAGACTACCTGCATCACGTACCGTCACAGAGTTGAGCTTCTGAAGATTCTGTATCCATCTCAATCCACTCTCTGGTTTCCAAAAGCAAAATCAGTGGTTAGCAAACGGTTCATCAGCAGGTTCAGCAACGTTAAATGCAATCTTCTTGTCAATATATTTTACAACTTCTGCTTCTTCTTTCATGGCATACTTGGTTGGCCTATCATTCCATTGAACATGATCAACTCTCCAAATTTAGGTCATCTTGATCATATCCACATCCAATCACCCTCTCCCTTCATCATTAAAGGAGAATGCACCAGAGAGCTTCTCACACATCTTGAAGATATATTTTTTCTCTTTAGGCAAGATAAACTGATCTGAGTCTATCTTCATTGTGTCAAATCTTTCTCTGGTGACTCTATTTTCCAATTTTGCAGATTCCCTTAATGCTTTAATAATTTTCCTCTCTTTCTCCAATGCTTCATCATAATACTTTTCTATTAGGACTGTCACCGGGTTTTTCTTCACCCCCTTGGGTTTATATTTTCTCTTTGACCCAGTGACTATTTTTCTAAAAAAGGATGAGTCGATGCAAATTTTAATTTCATCCTCCTACCCTTGGCAGTCTCAAAAGCCTTCTTAAATGCTTCAATTTGTCCGTCTTCATCTTTGAGTTTACCAAGGGCTTTCATTATTTTTGAAACTTGGTTAATACCTATTGAAACTTCCTCTTTAACTTCTTGTTTGTTTTCTTCTCTTAGTCTCCTAATCCTTTTAGTAGACTATTCTCTTCTGATTGAATCAGCTGACAACCGATGCTTGAAATCATTTTTAGTGCAGACTATAAAGGTCTATTCCTGAAAAGTCTCCGGATCTTGCACGCCGATCCAAGATGACCCCTCATGACTGAAAAATTGGACTGCCTCCATCCTATGCAAGAATGGAGTGCCAAGATACAATCGTGGTCTAGTTCCGACACTACAAAACCCAGTAGATCAACTGACATGGTCCTAACTCTGATAGACAGATTATCAATAAATCCTGCCACGAAAAGTTCTCCTGCAATATTACTCAATATGTTTTTTGTAGGTCTATCAATAAAAAAATCACAAGCCTCCATTGTCCTCTGGGAAAGAAGAACCAGTTCTGCCCCAGAGTCCACCAAAGCTCGAATCTTCACTTGATTAATATAAATGGTGAGGTGCCCACATCCCATGGTTGCGAACCTCATCTTACAACATGACAGTGATCTATTCATATGACTGAGAAAAGTTGATCACAAGTAATTAACTTCCAGTTTCTTCTTCTCGATCAACTTCTTTAGTTCTTCTCTCAACTTAGGTGCTAGAGTCATTGCTTCTTTGAATGACAGAGTCATTTCTGTCTCTTCCAGCATTTTAGTAATCACATCAGTAATCACAGTTTCATCTTCTAACTCACTCTTGAGAATAAATTTCCTCTTCTTTCCTTGTTCATTCTTCTTATGTGGAGGTTCTGGTTCTGGGTTATCGAGAATATTAATCAGAGACTTTTCTACTTTCCTTTTTTTTTTTCCCTTTATCATCTAAGGCGTCAAGCGTGCTTGAAGGTTCTCACTTCCCCAAACACAACACTAGGCTCCATAACAAGTTCTGGAGGTAGGTCGTCATCAAAATGACATCATATTGACCAGGAAGTGAGTTGATTCACTAGAAGGAAATTTTACTGACTCAGAAGAGTTCTGAGGAGTAAAATTTCATTCTAGTGAAGACTCACTTGTAGAAGCCTCATCAGATGTATCCTCTATCAATGTTAGGGATTGTAGAGATAACTCAATCGTGGTATGAGGGTCACATGTTTCCTGCACAAGTTCCTTAGGCAACTCGTCTATAAGAAAGTGAACATTCCTATTAGTCTTTCTCTTCTTTTTCTTCTTCATATTTTCATCATGTTTAAGAGCAAGAAGTCTCACACCTCCTTGGTGTCTGGGATCCAACTTGTTCCATGAACTATCACAAACATGACTCATGGCATCCTTCTTTGCCACCCCACTCTTCACATCCTCCTCAAGAGGCCTGCAATAAGTGGTAGTATGACCCCCTTCGCCACAATAATAGCGGACAAAACTCTTTTTAGGATGGTCATCATACTTTCTTCTTTCCCTGTTTCCTCTGTCACCATTCCCTCAATTTTTTCTAGATTTGGAGGAATCTCCCTTCTTACCATAGCTCTCATCATCATCATCATCACCTTCCTTTTCACTTTCAGCTTTCTTCTTTCCTCTGTGATCTACAGCATGGTTTGCTGGTATATAGTTAGTCATCACTCTTTGAATAATATTTTCAGCGCTCAGACTGTTCCCTCTGTTCATACCATTCTCAGTCTCTCAGTCTTTGGTCAATGTACTGATCTGATCGAGTGACCACTTCTTGTGAGAAACCGTAGGGAGAGTTCTGACAATTGCAACCATTTCATCTCTTCTGAGAGGATAGTGTTGAGCTTGATTAAGAATTGTCTGTCTTTCATTATCAGTAAATTAGTCAGGAAAATATGACATCTGTGAGCCTCATCCAAATATGGAATTCTTCTAGTCGTTCTGATAAAAGTCTGGAGAAAAACATTGAAAGTATCATACTTAGCTCTTCTGATATTGAGGAGATCCTTGGTAGTAGTTAAGATTGAGTCTTTCGTAAATTCTCTTTTCATTCTTTCTTTGACTTCTTCCCATGTAGTGACCCCTTCCATCAATTATTGAACAGCCAACCTCGAGTCAGTGTCACAGTAAGATAGAAGGTGCTTAAGTCGTTGTTTGTCTGTCCAGCCATAACTGAGCCCAAATAATGCATACTCATCCAAGAAATCATTCATTTGAGCCCCTCTGAAACATGAAATTATCTCATCTGGCCTCTTTGCTCTTGAAATATCTGACCCTCCTTTTAAGTGTCAACTCTCTCTACCAGTTCCCGTATAACACCCACCAAAGTCCCCTCATTAGTCCCTGCAGAAGAGCTTGGTCTCCCTCGTCCTGCCATTTTGACCATAGATTTTTCCGGATGCTTTTTTCTCTCTCTCTGTCACT